CCCGCGCCCCGCGCCCCCCGACATGGAGTTCTCCGAGCTGATCAAGACGGCGACGGTGGAGAGAGTGCTGCTGTCGTGCGCGGGGCTGCCGGCGGTGAAGGGCACCCTGTGCATCACCAGCCACCACCTGCTCCTCTCCTCCTGCCCTGGGGGGGACGCCCAGCCCGGCGCCGTGGAGCTCTGGCTGCTCATCCGCAACGTGGATGCCGTGGAGAAGAGGTGGGTCTCTCCCCGTGGCTGGCCCCACTCTCCCTTCTAGCGGTGCCACCCCTGCCCTAGCTGGAGGAGATTCCCGCTGCTCTCCCGGTGCCCGCGGCAGAGCATGGCCACCCCACGGCGCTGCCTGCCGGGCTTCGTCCCTTCTCTTCCCCGTGGCCCACAGCATTGACCTCCTCTTCTCCTCCGTGCCTCAGAGTGCAGAATTTAGGCTGGTACCAGCCCCCCCGGACTAACGGCTCCCCGCGAGACATCAGGTTTGGCTTTTAACACTCTCTCGGCTCTGCTAACCCGCCCAGCAGTGCCCGGCTTTGTGCTACGGCACACGCCGGGCCCCGGGCAGCGGGCAGGGCAGGGAGACGGTGGAAATCCTGGCTTCAGGCAGGCGTGCCACCAGTGCCGGATGAGAGCCAGCAATTTGGCATCCGCACCAGCACAGCCCTCCCACTTCATCCTGCTCAGCTCTCCCAGGGGGAGAGGGCAGCTCGGCGCTGTCGCGCGTCTGTGTGCACGGACCTACAGCCAGCCCTGACCCTCCTCCTGCCTCCCCCAGGCTCGCCGGCTCCTCCGGCACCATCACGCTCCGGTGCAAAGACCTGAAGGTGCTGCAGCTGGAGATCCCAGGCATGGAGGAGTGTCTTAACATCGCCAGCTCCATCGAGGTGAGCTCCCGGGCAGCCGGAGAGCCTGGCCCGAGCTGCGCTGGGGTGCAAAGGGTTGACAGGAGAAAGCGGCCGCCTGCAGTGTTTGTTCTCGGTCTGTCATTAACGTGGGTAAATACTCAGGTCCCGGCCCGTGTTGGCACAGGGTGCCCACGGGGCTGGTGGTGCCAGCACCTGCCTGCCCAGCCCTCACTTGCAGCTGGGACATGGCCAGGGGCGGGGAACGGGGATGGGGTTTGCAGAGGCTGCCCTGGGGACACGGTGGGGACGTTCCCAGCCATCTCCGTGCTCCCCACCCGTGACCAGCTCCACCTTTGCTCCCGCTCCAGGCCCTCTCCTCGGTGGACTCCGTGATGATGATGTACCCGTTCTTCTACAGACCCCAGAGCCTGAAGCTCGAGGAAGGATGGCACCTTTTCCCCCTCGAGCAGTACTTCCAACAGATCGCCTCGCAGGTGAGCCTGGAGGGGAGAGACCTGGCTGGGCTGGGAATCGGCTCCCCCCACCCACGCCAGGCTGCCCACTGGGGCTCACGCTGCCGGGGCTGCCAGGGAGGCACCCGAGGCAGCCCCCCCCCCCACGTCTTCCTCAGACGAGCCAGTGGCGGCTGAGCGACGTGAACAGGGATTTCACCACCTGCCCCACGTACCCTCCCGCCGTCATCGTGCCGGCGGCGGTGGACGATGACACCTTGCGGAAGGCTGCCCGTTTCCGGCAGGGTGGGCGATTCCCCGTCCTCAGCTATTACCACCCCAAGAATGGCACTGTGAGTCCACCTCCCTGTCCTGCCCCCCGTCCCCTCTCCCGCCACCGCCAGCCCTCGGGCGAAGGCGGCTCGAAGCCCCCCAACCTGTGGGGTTCCCCCGGTGCCCGCCGGCTCTCGCTGCCCACCCTCCATCACCCTGCAGGCGATGCCCCCCAGCCGCCACGC